GATGGTGAAACCCCGTCTCTACTAAAAACACAAAAATTACCTGGGTGTGATGGTAGGCACCTATAATCCCAGCTACTCAGGAGACTGAGCAGAGAACTGCTTGAACCCAGGAGGTGGAGATTGCAGTGGGCGGAGATCATGCCACTGACTCCAGCCTGGACAACAGAGCAAGACTCTGTCTCAAAAATAATAGTAATAATAGCTTTTATGCCACTGAAGAAATTTTGAAAGCTTGTAAAATTTAATAATTTTTTCTGTCTCTCCTACTTACAGCAACACAAAAAGAGAAAAGAACATCAGGGAAACTTCGCCATACAAAGACTGAAGGGAAGGGATCAACAATGAGGCTCTAAAACCCTTCCTTTAACATCAAGCGACATGCCACCTCGTCCCTATAACTCTGCACCACAGTCCATGCCATACTGGACCATAGTGGAGGAAGTACTACTTAGCATGGAGGGAAAACAATGCTAACTTCTAAAGCTTTAATTTCATAACGGAGAAAGGTACTATAGCAGATCTACCTTCTTATAACAGCATCTTAAAAGCCAAGTGTATTTCATAGCGATTACCCCTGGGAAGTGAGAAGATGGATGGACTGGGGGCCTTTTCCTTTGTGCTTTCCATATTTCTATAATGCTCAAATTTCTAATCATTGACATGTATTCATTGTCTTTTAAAAATGCTGGTAAAAGGCCAGAGACAGTAGTTCACACCTGTAATCTCAGCACTTTGTGAGTCTGAGGTAGGAGGACAGCTTGAAGCAGGGAGTTCAAGACCAGCCTGGTCAACATAGTGAGACCCTGTCTTTACAAAAAAATTAGCCAGGTGTGGTGGCACATGCCTACAGTTCCAGCTACTTGGGAGGCTGAGGCTGCAGTGAGTTATGATTGCTCACTGCAATCATATGACAGTTTTGCTCTCTTTGCCCAAGCTGGAGGGCAATAGTGCAATCTCGGCTCACTGCAACCTCCCTCTCCCCGGTTCAAGCAATTCTCTTGTCACAGCCTCCCAAGTAGCTGGGACTACAGGCGCCCACCACCACACCTAGCTAACTTTTTGTACTTAGTAGAGACAGGGTTTCACCATGTTGGTCAGGCTAGTCTCGAACTCCTGAGCTTAGGTGATCCACCCGCCTTGGCCTCACAAAGTGCTGGGATTACAGGCATGAGCCACCGTGCCCAGCCCAATTTCGTTCTTCTATAACTAGCTGTGGGGTAAGTTATTCATCTATAAAAGTTTTTCAAAAGTACTGTGTATTCTGGGGGAATTTAATAGATGTTAAGAGCAGACACCTATCTGAGGAACAACTACAATGCTCTTTATTTAAATATCTAATACAGAAAATGGTATTTTTTCCCTTTTTTTTTTTTTTCTGAGACGGAGTCTCACTCTGTCACCACTGCTGGAGTGTTGTAGTGTGATTTCGGCTAACTGCAACCTCTGCCTCCCAGGTTTAGGCAATTCTCCTGCCTCAGCCTCCCAAGTAGCTGGGACTACAGGCACCCACCACCACACTCGGTTAATTTTTGTATGTTTAGTAGAGTGGGGGGGTTTCACAATATTGGCCAGACTGGTCTCAAACTCCTGACCTTGTGATCTGCCTGCCTTGGCCTCCCAAAGTCCTGGAATTATAGGCGTGAGCCCACCACCCCTGGCCAGGAAATGGTATTTTTTTCAAAAGCAAATTATATTTTGACAGGCATCAAGAAAAGCAGCAGCACTTTCCTAATGCTGTACTGTTCAAGCCCCTCATCTCTGCCCTAAGAGACCAAATCCCAGGACATCCTTATGCACACCTAACCTTAAATCCATAATCATGTTTACATTTCTAAAGGGCATGTATCTCATATATTTGTGTCCCATTTGAGTGACATGAGACAAGAATATTAATCCCTCCACAGAGTGCTGCATGTCGCCAATATAAACAACATGAACAAGGACACCTAGGAGACCTCAAATTAACCAGATGACTCTAATAATTAGAAAGACCAATGGCAGGCCATTTTCTCCCCCCAGTGTGTTATTCCAGCCTGCAGCATGCTCAAAGAGCACACGTGTTCCACAAGGAGTTAGGAGGTACAAGGGTGATGGGTGGAAAACAAGGTCAGAGCAGGACAGTGGACAAACTCAAGGGCTGGTCAGTAAACGTGACAAAACCCCAGGCTCCCAGAGAGCAAAAACAAGCCTGCCTAAGCCTTTCACAGCAAGTTAGCATAGTAATTATACATTTGATCAAGATGCCTGGCTGTGTCTTGGGCTAATAATTTATTACATGGACTTTACAGTGACCAAGAGACCTAGGGGCAAACCGAACATCAACAGCAGTCAGTGATTTCATCTGTGCCCCTCTGTTGCAGCTTCTTGCCAGTTGGCTCGTACCTTTTCAACCTAACAAGCTGGAGAAGGCAGCTCTCCAAATATCACCAAACACAGGCATGGAAGTGAAGGAAGAATGGGCAAGGCTGGACCCATGTAGGAAGGGACACGGTGTTTCTATGTGTGAAAGAGGTGGGTTAGAATACTTCAACGATAGATGGGCCTATACAGAAAGAAAGAGGCCTGCTTAGAATCACCAAAGGAACACCACCACACATTCAACTCTCGCTTGAGCTTGGTGTTCTGCTATGGATCTGGCCACAGCAAACTAAACTAATGTGGCTCCTGATTTCCCTAAAGGACAGAGAAAAAAACAATGTGTATATCTGTCAAGTGACACAGAAACACAGTGGAAGCAGCACGTGGAAACAATCTACCTTTGCCCAGTGAAGTCCCAGATCTATACCCCACGAGTGAGCGGCAATCACACCCCTCCATATGAAGACAACCTAAAGAAACTTCTGCACAAGAGCACTAGGAGTCCTGGGGGGAAATGTATGCATTACTGTGGGTGTTACACAAGAAACAACCTACATATTCAAGAGAATTATGGTATATTCATTATACAACAGAATACTACCCATCATGAAAATATTTAAACTACAGCTAACATACCACATGGATGATTCTCACAAACCTAATGCTGATTTTTTAAAAAAGAAAAAACCAATCAAGTCACAGAACACATACAGAATGACAGCATTTATACAAACTTCAAGAACATTCAGAACTACAAAAAATATTGTTTAGAAATGCATATATGTAGTAAAACCATTTTTTTTTTCTAAAAAGAGAAATGATGAACACGATTCAAAATAGTGTTTACCTTTGCAGGGAGAAGAGGGGAGGTGGTCGGGAAGGGTACCCTGAGAGCGTCCACAGAAGTCACAACGCTCCTGTTAACGCTCCTTAAGCTCAGCGTAACTGTAAGATGTACTCTCATCATTCCTCTCTATGATATATACGAAATAATATTTTCCAGAATAAAAGTGGGGAAAGGAAAACAGTTGAGGGTGGAGGCCAGCAGCACTTCCTAACTCTGACTTACACATCTGCCTGCCTAACAAACAGGAGAGGGCCCAAGACTTGGAGGCAACAGAATCAACTCAGCTGTAAGGTGACAAAAAAAGAACACCTCCAGGCACTTCTCTGGGCTTTCTGGGTGAAACCAGCTCCACACGCTGTCTTATTCAAGTGGTAAACTGTAAGACACAGCACACTATCCCCAAAGTTGGAGACAGACTGCCTTGCCAATATAGAAACAGAAAATATCCCCAAACTCAGGCCTATTTTGCCAATGGAAGGAAAGTTCCCAGATGGTTCCAACAGACAGAGGAATGGATTGAATTTAGGAACAAGGCAGTAATTTCATAGAGCCCTGCAGAGCTGGGAGAGTCTGGGAACAGTTTTAGTGGGGGAGGGGAAGTAAAAATACACTTGAGGACACATTAAATAGGGCCCCAAAACTAAGAGCATAGAGCTTGGGACAGAACGTGTGTAACATGAAGTTCAAACGAACATGTGTGCCGAAGGCTAACGAGAAGCCCCTAGGGTGACTATATGAGCTTTACCTGCAAGAGGTGACAATCGAGTTTGGCACATGCTGAGTCTATTGGGAAATAAATATCAAAACAGATCTGTACCACATCCATGTAATGTATGTACAGCCCCCGGCGCCGGCGAGGGAGGAGTGTAACTTACTCGGGGAAACTCCCGGCCAGGAAGGCCGGATTCGGTCAGCCCAACGGGAGAAAGCCCAGGGCCGAGGCCAAAAGGTCCCTCGGGGAGGACGGGAGGGTGGTCCCGGCCCTAGGCAGAAGGTGGGGCTGCCAGGAGAGGGCAGGTCCCGGTGGCAGGAGTCCCAGGAGGCCTGACTGGAGCCAGGCCCGCCTGCGGGACTGTCGGGGGGATGGAGGGCGGAGACCCCTTGGGCGCTGGGGCCGGGAGGGCTGGGCCCCGGCGGCCACCCCGCTCCCCTGGGGCCCCGCCACACCCGCCCGCGCTCACCTGGGCACGCAGCTGGACGAGCTCCGGTCCACCTCCCAGGTGGCGTACAGGTTCATCTGCACCGGGGCGGGGGTGCGGCCTGGCCCGGGGCCGCCGGGAGGCGCGGAGCCCGAAGCCACCGCCACGGCCATGGAGGTGGATGTGGACGAGCATGAGGAGGAGGCAGCCGCCGCCGAAGTGGACGAGGACGACGAGGTGGCCTGGGCCAGCTTGGGGGGCGTCGGCTGCTGCGGCGGCTGCTGCTGCTGCTGCTGCTGCTGTTGCTGCGGCGGCGGCTGCTGAGGGGACTGGGCGACCCCGGAGCCCCTCTGGCCGCTGCCGCCTCCGGCGCCTCCGGGACCACTGCCCGCCCCTCCGCGTTCCGCCATGGCCTGGCCAGGGGTGGGGGTGCGGGGGTTATGGAGACCGAGGCGAAGCCGAGCGGGCTCCCAGGCTTCCCCCGCGGCGGCGGCGGGGCTCAGCTGTCTCCTCAGCCCGCCTGCCCTAGCGCGAGCCGCCAGCGGGCTGCACGCACGCGCGGGGACTCTGGGCGCGCGGGCCTCGCGCTCGCCCGCCGCTGCCTGTTGCGGCTCGCGCGGCCGACACGGGTGGGCGTGTCCGGGAGGGGGCGGGGAGCCTGGCCCGCGAGGCCCCACCCAGCGCCCAGGGGCCGAGCCGGGCGCGCTCGCGCCCGGCGTGCGGCGGCCCGCGCCCCTCGCTCCCGCGGAAGGGGGAGGGAGGGGGTCTGTGGCTGGCGCGCGCCAGGGGGCCAGGCCCTCAAATCCGCGGCCCTTGGGCCCCCGCTCCTCCCCTCCCCGCCCCCGCCGACCGTGGCCCCGTCAGCGGAAACCCGGCTTTTCCGGGACTCGGTCCCGGCAGCGAGGGGGTTGCTGCGGGAGCGCGCCTCGGCCCCTCTCGTCTGCGGAGCCTAAGCCGGGGAACTTGCTCTCCGCCTGCCGACCTGGCCCTGCCCTGCGGCGCCAGCAAACGGAGCGGTCGGCGGAGACCCGGGGCCCGTCGCCACCGCGGGTGCCTGTGATCCGGGAAGCCTCCGCCCTGAGAGCAGGCGGGGGCTCAGGAACCTGGAGTCCATAAGGTTCTTCGCACGAGTGAATTCTCAAGCTATGCCGGGGCCCATCTGAAGCCAAGCTTCCTCTTTCCCTACAGCTCCCCTACCCCCAAAATCCTTCCTCGATGCTTTGTCGCTTACAGATTTCTGAAATTCCATTCCTCCTAAGGCCTAGCACAGCTGCAACATCCTATCTGGATCACCACCCCCTCAAACCATCGTGAACCCTCCAGCAAGTGAGCGCCTAGTGCACTTACACCAACAGTGGCACCACAGCAGGGCCAGACTCCCCTCCCCACAGGCTGGCAAGTGCCCAAGGGAGCCAGTGGTCCAGCCTGCTCCAGTGTGTCAGAAAGGCTGTCCAGGACCAGGGGATTTGAACCTGGAGAAAGCAAGTCCCTCCATCCCACACACACAAATCCCAGCGACTACTGTTGCTTGAACCCAAGGACTCACACGGACTCAAGACAATTTAGCTTTTAAGCTATGTTCTCGAACAGGTAAGGACTTGGACTTCTAGCCACAAGGTCAGTTGGGAAGGCGTGCCCTGGCCTACTTCCCAAGCCCACTGTTACTTCCTCAGCCGTGCTAGGGCGCTAAGCTGGCTATTTTTATTCCCCAAGGACAAAGTAGTAAGGTCAAAGCCGACCTAGAGGTACATCCCCCAAGCCTTCCTACAAAGCAGGGCGGTGGTGAAACAGATCTCAGCCCGGGACTGGCGTCACCACCAGTCAACTGCACCGTCTGATCCCAGTTCATGTTCGTGGTTACTGGGGCAGCCCAGTGATTGTAGAAAGGCTATTTTAGTCCTTTTGCAGAAGGGGCTAAAAGGAGATGAGGGAGAAACAGGAGTGTTACATATTCATCTCTTTCCTTGGGAAACAGCTTTATTTACAAAACAGGTCTAAAATAAGAACATGAAATGACAAGTCCTTGGGAATTGCGGGAGAGGTGGCTCTTGTGTGAAGCCCAGGCATCCAGACGGAGGACTGAAAGGAAGGCCAGCGTGAGGGGGCCTAAAACTTGAACTCCTTGTATTTCTTGCTGCCCCCACGGCTGTCCTGGGGCTGAGCTTTCCGCTTCTTTTGCTGTATGGGAGAAAGGCACATTACAACAGGTTGAGCCACCCCTGGGCCCCCAAAACAAGGGTGGGCAGCCTGACATAGACATAGAAGTCTGTGGGAAAGGTGCTGAATCCGGATTCTTTTCCAGATTCCTCTCAGACTTGGCTGAGCTCCTCCCCATCACCGTCCTTAAAGAGGGCAGCCCACTGGAGATTTCTAAGATTTCCAAATCTAAGGAAGTGCAGGGCAGCAAGCAGAGGCCACCCTCACTCTGACCACTAGGGGGCACTACGCCACTGGAAATCGGCAGGCCAGGGTCCCTGGCTCTCACTCAGCCCAGCCCCCTGGAAGCACCTACCTTCTGTTTGGCAGCATGCTCAGCCACCATGTCGCTGAAGTCCTCCTTCTCCACTTGAGCCTGCTGCTCCCGCACATGCTCCTCATACTTCTGGGTCATGGCCATAGGATCCAGCTCCAACTCTTCAGGCGCCAGGGCCACTTCCACACCTTGCAGCTCAGGAGCCGGGCCCTTCCGGCTCATAACCTGGAAAGGGGATCAGGGCTTTGTCATCTCCAAAGACAGTCACTGAGGCCCTAGTTTGTGCTGCCTTTCTCAGCCTCCAAAAGCAGTGTCCTTCAAGTACTCACCGTGGACATGTCATAAATGTGGGTTGATCCCATCATGGCTCCCCCAACAGTGGCTGTTCTCTTCTCTGGCAACACAGTGAAGAGCTGAGGTGTCTCACTTCTGCAAAGGACAATGGGATCAGGCCCAAAAAGGAAGGGACAAAAGGGTCCCCAGCAGTGGAAACAAAAGAAACAGGTGGCACCACCACTCAGTGCCTTGGAGAGCTTCTGAGCTCCCCAGGGATGCAGCCTCCAGTTCATGGAGGCCCATGACAGAAAATAATTGGGTAGGGGAGGGTGGCACAGTGCCGACTCCAGGGAACAGAGATGGAGCTAAGGGGCCCCCTGAACCAAGTTAGGGGATCACAGACCAGGACTCCCACATGCATACAAGGATCAAAAAGTCAGAGAGCCTAAAAGTTTCCAAGAGAACTTTGGTACAGAGAAGCTGGCAAGAGAGCAGGCTGTAACAGTTCCCACCCAAAGAATGTCATGCCTGGAGTTCTAATGTACACAGTTCACACTTCCAGGCCTTCCAATGCAAGAGCCATCCACAGCCAGTTTCACTACCAATTTCAAGAATTACACTAGGAACAAGAGCAAATCTACCACTATCACCCCAGACCATGTCCCTCATCTCTACCTCTCCCACTGGAAGAGGTGACAATCTATTCGCCACACAGGAGCCAGAGTAAATGCCTTAAAATGGAAGTCAGGTCTTGTCAGACCTTTGCTTAAAACCGTCTGAGGCTTCTGTCCATTATCTGAATAAAATCCAAACTCCTTACCATGACCTAAAGGGTTCATAGTCTGGTCCCTTATCGAAGCCCTCCTCACTATACCCTGTCCACAGTACCCTTCTTTTTCTTCCATGAATATGCAAAGTTTGAGAGTTCTGCTTCCTGACAAGGAGCAACAAGAATCAGATATACCCTCCTGCCTGAAACAAACAAAAAATGGGCAAAATATATGAAACTGTGTTTTTTGTTTTTTGTTTTTGAGACAGAGTTTTGCTTTTGTTGCCCATGGTGCGCAATGGTGCAATCTTAGCTCACCACAACCTCTGACTCCCAGGTTCAAGTGATTCTCCTGCCTCAGCCTCCCAAGTAGCTGGGATTTCAAGTGTGTGCCACTATGCCCGGCCAATTTTTGTATTTTTAGTAGAGGCAGGGTTTCTCTATGTTGGTCAGTCTAGACTCGAACTCCCAACCCCAGGTGATCGGCCCGCCTTGGCCTCCCAAAGTGCTGGGATTATAGGTGTGAGCCACTGCACCTGGCACAGTGGTTTTCAAGACACCAGACATGGGGCAACAAAATATAAGTGAGTCTTATGAGATAGGAAACAAATGTGATGAATCCTTCAACTGCCCCAGCATCCTGCACTGAGTTTCTAGGCCACAGAACAAAGAAGGGAGACCCACTGGACAGCCCAGAGGACTCCATGAGTTGGGAGGATGAAGGTGAAAGTCCAGGGAGATCAAGGCAGTAACGGTTCACAGAAAGTGTACTGGAGAAAAGAGCAGAGAGAACTCAAGAGACCTACAGAAGGTCCTCAAGTATGCAGGGGAGTACTAAGCAGCACCCAAAAGGTTCATAACAGCACCCGCTGCTCACTCAGAACTGGGAATAGTGCAATGCCCACTAGCCAGACGGAAAAACCTCCTGATTCACAGGATGGTGGGTGGAGTACACAGGTACTTGTGTCTCACAGTGGGGAGGACTACTTCAGTCCTGCCTCAGGAACGCCAAAAACAAGACCTGAAAAGATCAAACTATTTTTGGATGAGGTTGAAGAAAATGTACAGGAATACAAAAATTCCATGGACCAGACAAGGTAAATTTCACAAAGCCTAGCATTTAATAAAAAATTATCAGGTACCGGACATGCCCGGTGGCTCATGCCTGTAATCCCAGCACTTTGGGAGGCTGAGGCAGGAGGATTGCTTGAGCCCAGAAGTTCAAGACCAGCCTGGGCAACACAGTGAGAACCTGTCTCAAAAAAAAAAAAGAAAAAGAAAAAATGTCCAGATATGCAAAAGAATTGGAAAATACAATCCATAATGAAGAAAATAATCAGCTAATGGCAATCACCCAGAACTGGCACAGATGTTAGAGTTGGCAGACAATACATTAAAACATTATTATAGCCAGGTGCAGGCCTGTAATCCCAGCACTTTGAGAGGATGAGGCAGGCAGATCACCTGAGGTTAGGAATTCAAGAATAGCCTGGTCAACATGGCAAAACTCTGTCTCTACTAAAAATACAAAAAAATTAGCCGGGTATGGTGGCACATGCCTGTAGTCCCAGCTACTCTGGAGGCTGAGGCACAAGAATTGCTTGAACCTGGGAGGCAGAGGTTGCAGTGAGCCAAGATTGCACCACTGCACTCCAGCCTGGGCAACAGGGCAAGATTCCATCTCAAAATAAAATTAAAATTACATTAAATTAATAAAATTAAATACTATCATAACTGCATTCCACACGTTCAAAAAGTTAAATAAGAGAGAAAGAATAGATATAAAAAACCCTAAATAAAACATCTAGAAAGGAGAATCACATTGTTTGGGATTACTGTTGGATCAGAAATTACACAAGAAAAAATAGTAAACTTGAACACATAGCAATAGAAATTTTCTAAAATGAAATACAAAGAGAGAAGAATTTCTTTAAAAATTAAGAGCATCAGTGAGCAGTGGGGCAACTTCAAGACACCTAATAGAGGAATAATTTGAGTTCCCAAAGGAAAGAAGGGAGCAGAGAAAATATCGGAAGACATCATGATCAAAATTTTCCCCAAATTAATAAAAACTAAAAACCCAGATCTAAAATACTTTAAAAACCGCCAAGCAAAGAAACATTCAGAAGCTACACCAAGGCACACTGTAGTCAAATTGTTAAAACTAGCTATACAATCTTAAAAATAGCCAAACAAAAATGACACATTATGTACACAGAAACAAAGGTAAGAATGACAGCAGATTTCTCACCAGAAACAATGCAAGGAAGATACACTGGAGCAACATCTTAAAAATACTAAAAGAAGGCTGATTCACCTATAATCCCAACAGTTTGGGAGGCCGAGGCAGGCAGATCACTTGAGGGCAAGAGCTCAAGACCAGCCTGGCCAACATGGCAAAATGCCATCCCTACTAAAAATATAAAAATTAGCTGGGTGTGGTGGCATGTGCAAGTAATCCCTGCTACTCAGGAGGCTGAGGCAGGAGAATCACTTGAACCCAGGAGGTGGAGATTGCTGTGAGCCAAGATCACACCACTGCACTTCAGTTTGGGCAACACAGCAAGACTCCATCTCAAAAAAGAAAAAAAAAAAAGTATTGAAAGAAAAAAAATTGTCAGCCTAGAATTCTATACCTGGCAAAGATCTTTTAAAAAATGAAGGCCAAATAAAGAATTTTTAAGACTACCCAAACTGAACAAATTAAAAACCAGCAGACCCACAATACAAGAAATGTTTTTTTAATATTTTGCAGAAATGGGGTCTCATTATGTTGCCCAGGCTGGTCTCAAACTCCTGGACTCTAGCAATCCTACAGCCTCAGCCTTCTCCCAAAGTGCTGAGATTACAGGTCTAAGACACCATGCCCCCCAATGTAAGAAACATTTAAAAGAAGCCCTTCAGATAGAGGAAAAATGATACCAGATAGAAACCTGAATATACACAAAGAAATGAAAGAAACAAAAATGATAACTACATGGTTTAATTCATGATTCTTATTTAAACCTCCCTAAAAGATAATTGACCATTTAAGCAAAAATAGTAATTATACAGTATCAGATTGCTAACATATGTAAAAATAAACTATATGACAATAAAAATTGGGAGAAGAAAAATAAAGTATATGATAAAGGCTCTTAATACTATCTGGAAGCAGTGTAACATTAAGAGAAGGTCTTTACCTCTTGATAAAGTCATGATCTACAATAAATCCCAGAGCAACCACTAAAATAACAAAGCAAAAACTCACAGCTAATAAACCAACACTGGAGATCAAATGGAACATAAAAAATGTTCAAGTAATCCAAAGAAGGTAGAAAAACAGGAAAAAGGGAACAAAGACCAGAATGGATAAAGAGAGGGTCATTTCATGATAAAAGGGTAATTTAGGAAGACTTAACAACACTACACACTTAGGTACCTAAAAGTGGAGCGTCAAAATATGAGCCCACGCCTGTCTCAGGGCCTTTGCACTTGCTTGCACTTACTGTTACTTCTGACCCAGATCATCTGGTAGCTGGCGTTTTCCTAATGTTCATTCAGGTCTCAGTTCAAGCACCACCTCCTCAATGAGGCCTTTCCAAAGGCCTCCCTGCCACCCCATCCCATTACCCAGTTTCCTCTGCTTCAACATCCTTATCCACATCTGAAAGTATCTTGTTCTCTAATTACCAGTTTACCTCAACTGCTGACTCCTCATTGCCTGGAGTAGTGCCTGGCAGAGTTGGTTCATTAATTGTTTAAAAAGGGATGGGGGAGAAAGGAACAATGGTCAGCCAGCCAGCCAAAGGGAAGTGAAGGTCTTCCCCTCTCAGCCCTGTCTGGCACCCTCACCCATCCATCGCCTCCTCAATCTTCTTCTTCCTCAGCTCAATGAGTTCAGGGGTCTCCATTCCAGCAGGCACTGATGAGAAGCCACCAGGAGTGATCAGGCCACTGTAAAGAGAGGAACAAGCTCTGGAGTAAAGAGAAGGCCACCAAAGATGGGCCACTACTAAGAGGCACTCTGCTTTCCCCACCTGTCTGCAGGGGTGATAAAGCCTGTCTCATCTGGTTTGTCTTCATCACTTTCCTCCTCTTCCTCTTCTTCTGAGGATTCTTCATCAGATGGTTCCAGTTCCCCCCAAGGGGTCCGATCAATCTCTTCTTCCTCAGTCTTGGTCTGAAAGAGATTACTTATTCATTAAACAAATGTTTACTAAGTACCTATTATGTGCCAGGCTGTTTTAAGCTGAAGGAGTGTAAGAGTCAACACACAGACAATAATCCCTACCTACCTAGAGCTCAAGTTCTAGTGAGGAGCTTGCATCAATATCTCAGGAAAATGTATGCCCATTTTCAGACTGACATTTCAGAACACACACAACTCCCTGATAATGAAGCTATAAACCAACAATCTCTAACCTTCACGACATTAAGCAAAACCAGAATTTCAGGTACACGGCCCATACCTGAAATTCAGCAGCATTGGTTCCAAATACGTCCCCATAGAGCGGTTTCCCAGTCTCATCCACTGGAGGTTTGCCCCAGCCACCAGCATGGTACCCAAAGGAACAGCTCTGCAAGACAGCACAATCGGTTTACTCCTTAGCTGCCAAAGAAAATCTGAAGTCCTAGAGAAAAGTCACACTTGAAAGAACAGAACTGATACTTGAGAACTGTGGAAATTATGACTGCAGAATAAAACTAAATGTTATAAAGCATTAGAAAGCAAAATTCATAAACAACTAAACTCTGGAGGCAACAGGATGAGGAGACAGGAGGCAGAAAGTATGTTAACAGCCTCTTCTGTCATGGCAGAGCCTTTGCTCTCTGAAACTAAAACATGTATGCTAAAAGCATTACTTCAATTTCTTTTTCTTTCCTCTCACCTGTGTGAAATACGAATGACTTCAATTTCTTATTGAGTTTCTTAATGACTTCAATTTCTAACTCTGGAAAGCTGGCTTGTTCAGAATCTGTTTCTCTTAAGGGGCAGAAATTTCTATCTAATGTTTAACAATACTACTTTATTACTTTAACAACTCATCTGTTTTCTTTTTAATGCTTATTTTAA